TGAATAGTTGCTTCCTCCCTCATTTCTCTCCTTTCCTCCCTCATTTCTCTCCTGTCACTAAGCTTTGTGTCCTCCTCTAATACACTGTTTCCACAATTAACTCAATAATTCAACTTTCAGCAGTTTTGAACACAATCAATAACAGTGTAGGAATCTTTTTCTTTTTTTTTTCATTCGGTGAGATTTTCAGCGGGCTATGAATGATAAGTATAATTTTTTACTGAGAACACTGATGTTTAACTTACTTCTATGGTTAGCACTTCACATGATGTTAATTGGTCAAAATTTCGTCAGTTGCTTATTCAGTTGTGGATATTTAGCGAGGAACTACATTTGGGACCTCAAGGAGATTCGGATCAAATTCGGTTTCTTACAATGTTTATGAACGTATTACGCTATTTTACTTGATATACACCATGAGATGCATACTGATGCCAATTGCTTTAACATGCATACAATGCTTGCCAAGATCAAGCATATTTGCTATCTGATAGTCTCTCCTGTCTCTTTTGTGCAGCCAAAATGCCATTTATCTTGAGGAGAAGGAGAAGAAGGAGAAGGAAATGAGGAATCAGATTATTGCTGAAGCTGAGGAGTATATACGAGCATTTTATGAGAAACGGAAGCTCAATTGTGAGTCCAGCAAAGCTAATAACCGAGAAAGGGAGAAAGTAACTGCTTGCACTCAAACTTCTTATATGAAAAAACAGTAACTGATAGGAAATGACCATGCATGTGCTTTTGTGCAGTTGTACCTGGCCAACCAAGAGAAATTTCACAAAGAAGCTCACAAACAATACTTTAAAGCAATTGCAGAGATTATACCGCATGAGGTCCCTAATATTGAGAAGAGGCGAGGCAAGAAGGAGGAAGAGAGGAAGCCTTCAGTTGCAGTTATCCAGGGCCCAAAGCCTGGGAAACCCACTGACCTGTCTAGAATGCGCCAGCTTTTTCTCAAACTGAAGCAGAACCCTCCACCACATATGCTACCTCCTCCTGAGAAAGACAAGGATGGTAAGGATGGAAAGGAAGCAAAGGATGCCAAGGATGCGAAGGAAGGAAAGGATGCCAAGGACACGAAGGAAGGAAAGGATGCCAAAAATGAAAAGATTTCCACACCAAAGGAGGCTAAGGATGGCAAAAATGAGAAAATCGCGACCCCAAAGGTGGCTAAGGATGCCAAAAATGAGAAAAGTCCCATAGGAAAGGAAACTAATGATGCCAAGAACGGAGAAAATGCCACACAACAGGGATCTCCAGCTGCTGCTATTGACAAGGTTGTTTCACCAGCCAAGGATGTTGCACAACAAGGATCTCCAGGTGCTGCTATTGATAAGCTTGTTTCACCAGCCAAGGATGCTGCACAACAGGGATCTCCCGCTGCTGCTAGTGTTGGTACTCCAAAAGGACCAAAGGCCGATACACCAGCTTCGGCTGAAGGCGGTCAAGCTGCAGAAAGTGATTCTGCCTCAACTGCATAAACTAGTTCCTAGTAATACCTCTTCACTTCTAGCGTAATTAATTCTTATTACACTGTTCTGGAGTTATTATCATTCATTCATTCTTTTTTCCTTGTTGCTTTATGTCTAGTTGCAAATAAGAGCGACTGGCCTTTGAGGACATATGTTCTGCAGCCAGGGGCTTTCTTCCTGATATGCTTCAGGCTTTTTTTTTTTTTTCCTTGCTTAGACGCACGACCGGGATGAGTTTGTTGTTCCCTTTTCCTTATACAATTGGAAGCAGCTTTTGTAGCAGGAATTTCAGCTTGCTATTTGTGTGCTTTGAAGTTTTTCCTGGCTAGTTAATCTTTTAATTAAGGTTAAGAGACAGCAGACCTTAGGTTGAGCATTCTTCGGCGTTCTGTCGCATCCACACATGACACATTCTTTTCATTCGTCTAGTTTGTGAGTTTTTAAGTTGTTCTTTTTACGTTACTTGAACAGAAAGGGGGCATCTCGCAAGTTAGTCTCTTTATACCACAGCTATTTTAATTAGCCTTTTGTTTTAGAGAAAGCTTCTATGTTGTAATAATAATCAAAGAAAGCTATATGGTTTGATCTAGAACCCCTAAATCAGATTTTAATTAAACTATAATACCCTTTAAACCTGCTCATAGACAAGGAAAGAGAAGGTTAAAAAGGCCCAATGGTAATGAAATAAAGTCTTGTAAAATGAATTACTGACATTATTTTACTTTGATGGTCAAGCTTGTTGAGTCCCCCATCGGTGGGATGTGGATTTCCTCGGCTACTTATATGGTCTTGGACAATCCTCACTTCATTAGCTAGCTTTTGGAGTTGAGTTAGGTCTGAGTCTATTTATCAAGGTATCATAGTCAGACCCATCCCAATTTATTATTATCGAGGCTGGGCCCCCATTTATGTTGTTCATGCTCCAATTTGTAGGCCTGGGCGTGAGGGGGTGTTGAGTCTCACATCGGGGATGTGGATTTCCTGGACTCCTTATATGGTCTTGGGCAATCCTCACTTCACGAGCTAGCTTTTGGGGTTGAGTTTGGTCCGAGGTCCATTTATCAAAGCTTTTCAAAAATTTCTCAGTTTAATTGGTCTTTTGCAACTAAGAGTAGATCTAAATCATAGGTTTTGCGATGGTATTTCTATCTTAATTTTACATTTCTTGTAGTGTACCCTACTAAGTTTTTTCTATTTCCAAGTTCTAATTTAGGTCCAATATCGTTCCAGAAATTAGTTATTTTTTCATGAATAATCTGATATATTTGAGCATATCTTGTTCTTTGAGTTGTCGATTAACGCGAAAACGCAAAGTAGAACTCCACGTACTTGCATAGGACTGTAATTTTGTAGTTGGAACTGTGTTGGTGCAAAGTTCTTTCTCCATTGATAATTCTATTCTAACATAAGGTCAATGATACGATGGAATGATAAGCAGGTAGAGATACTAGTTGAGCCCAACACATCAGGTTAGTGTTATTTTCACTTTCCAGTATTTGAAGTTGGTCATATACTCTGTTCCCAGTTTCCATCTAATAATATACCTTGATCTACGTTTCTTCATTGAATGCACCCTTATGTTATTACTTTTAGCCCTTCCAATTCATACTCATATGTAGATGTACTGTTTGTGTGGAAGGTGATAGAGTTTAACTTCTATAAACTTATTTTGTAAAAGAACTTTTACACTATCAAATCATCTAAAATGATGATTATAGGTAATTGTCACAATAAGTGAGATAACAACCTGAAAAATAAGGTAGGTTATCTGCTTCAAAATTAAAATGCATTGATAGCATAATTTTTCTTTAGATAATGTATTGTATTCTTACCGACTTAAAGTCCACGTTAAGCCCTACTCCTAATAGTTTGATGTTGCAAGGACCAAAGAGTTGAATGTTTGTGCCCCTAGTTTGTCCATCTCTACATAAATGTTAAAGAGAAATCTTGAGAATCATAGCTAAGGGACCTCAGTGTGAATTCTCCTTTATCTTGGGAGGATTTGGGCACATGCCCATTCACATGTGTAGAACTGAGTGTCAGTTGAATCCAAATATGAAGTTAGAAGTAGTAACTGTTTTGTAATTGGGACCGCTTCCACGTGTGGACAAGATCATTCTTGTCAAGACTCCAAACTAAGTTCTTTACTCTTATTGCATGTGACAGAGGTGTGTTCGTTTCAGAACATATGTATGCTTTCATAACTACTGGCCACTCAATTGCTTTGCCCCAATCTTGAAGTCAAACCCCACCTCCCCCACCCACCCCACATCCCAACAACACAAGATCGGGAGAAATTTTACTCGAATCCGATGTTTACGTTAAGAAATTGAATGAAAGATATTTTTACTTACTATGGTTAACCAATATGAAGCATATTTATACTTTTACTTGTGATTCTTATAGTTGAATTGTTTGATTTGGTGTAACACTGGGTATGGTTAAGTACGTGTGCTCTCTGCAGTGTTAGATGTAGTAGGGTTTTGATAGTAGGTGAATGGGGGGATTTAGACCGTTTTTACGATATACGTGCCTTTATCCCCTTTTACCTTTCATGATAAATTGGCTAAACTCGTAAAAAACAAAAAATAAAACAGCATTGAAATCGATTTTTATTGACCAATCAGAATTGCCTTCAAGGATCTATAATTGCCTCAAAATGTCCAATATATATACATTGTTGGACCTTTTGAATAACAGCCAAGAAGATCTTATGAAAATTGAACATTTTCGTAGCGAAGATGTAAAACGGATATTGGGCATTTTAGAAAAATATTTCGTAATTGATTTAGCAAAAAATAAGTTTTAAATCTATTGGACTTACTTAGTGAAAATAGATTGAAACTCTTTAGCACAATTAATATATTAATATATCATATATTCAAAATAAATTCAGAATTAAATTGAATAGATGTATCTAGGGAGAATTCGCTTTGAAGAAACTATTCCCTAGATACACATGTCGTGTNACGAACACCTTCGCTAATAAGACAAAGAAATGGAGAGTCTATGCCTTGAATGAATCAGTAACAACGAATTAGTGGAATGAGGGATCAAAAGACGGATAGGGAGGGAATGGCCTATCAATCATTGGTTGACCTTCCCTTGAACCAGTCACGGAGCTCTCAACTGAGTTGTTTAGGTTCTGAAATTCCATCTCTAGTTGGGGGTTTATTTTATATATATATTTCGTAAAATTGATCTAATATTATTTGTTGGCTCCCACGCTTTAAAAAGGTCGAATGATGCACCTGATTGAATGCTGAGTTATTTATCCAAAGGAACATAAATCAATTCTCACTTAGTACTTCTTTCGTTTTTCGGTGCATTCATGTTCTGAAAATCCTAAATACGCCGAATGAAAAGATAATCGTCGGTTTAAAGTTTCTGAATTCGTTTCTGTTTATTTGTCATAGTAAATTTGTATATGATTAGGATATGAGCAACCGTTGATAAGTTGATCAATTTTTTGTGTTGCAACCATACGATGTTCTGGGTGTAAGTATTGAACAGTGACAAGATATTAAATATAGTAGGAAACAGAACCAAACTACCCAAAGGGCAGAAGGTCCCCACATCATTCATTCATGTTTCCATATCAAGCAACATTACATTACATGTGCATTCATTTGGTCCTATCCTCAGTTAAAACTCACAGAATAGGACCCCACTAAACTTAACCTACAGCCCAACAAATTAACATAGCACCACACACTTATTACACCCAAACAAAAGAAGAAACACAAGGTAAAGCGCTCACTCTCCTTTGGAGAGGGCTACTAGCAGTTACACACAACAACAAAAGTAGGAAAAAGAAGAAGGAAAGAGCCTTGGATACTTTTTTATGCTGATCCGAACGGCTACTTTTCCTTTTAAAAAAAAGACATAAAAAGCTACTACTTGAGAGAGGCATTGGTATATTAATTCTTCAGTAAATTGGGAGCCAATTAGAAGAAGTTAAGGCGAGAGGTGTAAGTAGCTTTAGGAGACCAATTGCCTGGAATAACATCTCTTGCTGAGAGGGCTTTGCCAGTTGAGAGTGTTGTTAACTTCACTGAAAAAGGTCCTTGCAATGGTCCTCCAATTATGCACCAATTTGCTCCCCATATATGTGTCATCTCTAACCATACATTCGACTTCGCCTGAAAAATTAGCAAATTTTAGAGTCTTTTTAAAAAAAAATCCAAAATTCTTGTCTGTCTGATAAAGGAAAAAGAATCTACCCTTCATAAACCAATGAGGGAAGAAGACATTTTTAATTGTATTTGGTTAAAAAGAGGGTCGAGGTCTATCGGAAATAACCTCTTTACCTTCACAAAGTAGGAGTAAGGTCTGTGTACAGATTACCCTCTCCAAATCCCACTTATTGGATTACAGAGTTTGTTATTGTTGTTGAAAAGAGGAGGTAACTTTTGTATGTATTTAACACTTCTGCACTGTTGTAAAACAGTGATAAAAAGAAAAGCATGTGGAAAGTGATTGAAGTGCATAATACTTTGGACAACCAAGTCAAGATGGAGAGGAACTTTTCATATTCATACCCAAAAAGAAGATATACTATCTATATTCATGGTAAAGCAATGGTGTGATTGTGGCAGAGAGAGTATCAAATGTACGCCAAATGAATCTTTCATAATGTCAAACAAAGATTTTGCTTTGTCTGGCATCACGTGATTCTTAAAGTTCTCTCTAAGCACCTAAATGTTCGGATTTGTCTAATAGGTATATTTTTAGATTTCTTGTAAAATGTAAAGAGTCTTCTAAAGCAGAGGCTAAAAAACCTCAGAGGTCCTTTTTGATAACTGTGAAACTGCAGACCATAACATGTTCCCTCATCCTTTATAATAGTACTCGAAAACTTCTTTTGACTAGGAAGCTTTCAATCTTCAGTTTGACCAATTAAATAAAGAGCTTAAGCTATACACAAGTTGTTATTTTGTAGTGTAAATACTTTTTACATTATAAGTGTATATTGTGCGGAGCCAAGGAAGAAGCTACGATTCATTTGAACCAATAGTTTTGCCTTGGACCCTGTATATGTATTAATAATCCGACTAAGTGCAAAAAATATATTCTGAACCCAGTAAATTAAATGTGAAGTGGTGCAATTTTGAATTTGAACTCATAAATTTTAAATTTTGGTTTCGCTTATGAGTGTATATAAATAAAAGCGGAGACATAAGATATGTACCTCTCTAATATGCATGGATCCAACATCACCATCTCCATCCTCAAATTCCACAAGAAGAGAAAGCCAGTAAGGTGTTGAGCCTTCATTTACATGGAAGGCTATGTTCTTTCCAGGGTACTTACATGGAGTTCTACACCCACAAATTCAATAATATTAGTGCCCATCATCTATTAAAGTGTAAAAAAGCTACTACTTAATAAATTACTATGAGGAAAAGAGAATAATATTAGTCATCCAAAGAGAAGATAATAGGAGTAATAAAAATATCTTGAAAGGTAACCACAAAAATGGTGAAATAAATATGGTCAGAGGGAAAGTGGTCATCAGTCAGACTCCAATTCATGCAAACCAAGGAAGTAGCAGTGAAGTTTTTGACCAAAAAGGATATAAAACATACAGAAACTACACACAAGGAAACAGAATATAATTAACTTTTTCGTGTGTGAATGTGCGCTAATAACTAAGCAGCATTTAATCAATACTAAAATATATCATCAGCAAATAAAAAATGACCAAAAAAGATACAGAAATAACCCCAACACAGTCACTTAACTCAGGGGTGTCATTGTCAACAAAAATAGTACTACTCAAAAACTTTATGACATACAGAGCACTTTTGGATGGGCTTTTAAGCAGCTTCTAACGTGTTTAAGTGTTTGACAACCAAAAAATGAGCTTAAAAAAATTTAAAATTTACTTTAAAAAAAAGTTAAAATAAATAAGTTGGAAAACCTAACTTTTTCTAAATTGGCTTAAAAGCCATATTGCTTTGACCAAGGATATTACATTCTTATCCCTTCTAATTTTTCTTGATTCCGAAATTATCCCTAAATAAAAACCCTACAACATACTATTTTTTTTTCCATTCTTCAATATTTGTCAATTTCTTGAAGTTCGTAACGTGAAGCAAATAATAGTTTTTTAAATAATGTTTGATACATTCCAATATTTTGTAAATATTATTCTTTTGGCTTCTTTTTTTGGTCCATAACATTTAATTTCTTTGGTAGTTGAATCCTTCCTTTTTTTTTTTAATTGGTGTAACTATATTCTAAAATCAAACCATTCAATGAATTTATGTGGTACCCCTGAATTTGAAGCTATGAACGGAAAAAATAATATTATGGTCATCTTCTTCTTTATAATGTTAACAATTTTAAGGATATTTCAGTCATTTTAACGAGAAAAAGTGCTTACCAGTACTTGTTTACCAAACACTTCATCAGCTTGTTTTAAGTTTCAACACTTTTATCCAAATACGTAACTGCTTATTTATAAAACAAATTCCAGCATTTATAAAGTAATTTTAAGCACTTATAAAGTGCTTTTAAGCACTTAACTTAAAAGCCACTTTTTTCTAAGTCAATCCAAACGGGCAAATAGTAAATTAAATTAACAACCCACTAAACACTAATTGACAAAATAGGGAAAGATAAAAAAACAAGACCGTTATCAAGAATAAAAAATGACAAAAGTTCCTTACCGGCGGTAAATGACGGAGATAACACCACGGTCACGGAGGCTACCGCCGTAACCAGAAACAGCCATGTGACCAAAGGCGGCGCCACTAAGGTCAAAGTGAACTCTGCCGCCGGAGCAGTACCCACCGGGACATTCATCTGTAATAATCACCGTCGCAGCTCTTCTTGAACAAACGGAACGGTCCAAACACTTAACTTTATAGCAGGCCCCACATCCTTCACCATTTTTAAACAAAATTGGACTCACTGCTCCTACTCTTGCCCTGAACGGCCTCACATCCACCATATTCCCGTACCCACATGCCCCACCTGACCAAAAAATACCACCATTAAAAATCAAATTAATTAGCTTACAAAAAGGAGGGGAGCTGTCCGTGAACACGTTACGGGTTCGAGCCGCGAAAGTAACATCTTGCAAAAATAAAGGGTGAAATTGGGTACATTAAACTTTTGTGGTCAAGCTTTACCGACTCGGACATACATAGCGGGAGCTTAGAGTACATTTTTTTTTTAATTAGCTTACTAAAAGAAAAGCTGATAACTTTGACTCAATTTCTTTTGAAAAATACTCCATTCATTTATAAAGAGTAACGAGTCTTTCAGTAAATTTATATCAAATCAAACAACATAACCTTAACGGTTACAATTTAAAATGAAAATACATATCACTTAACCATAATTAAGTAATAAATTTACCGGTACTGCCGTCGCCTTCGGGGCTGCCGTACCAAGTGGCAGTAGCAGGGTACCAATGTGTGTCCTCAACACGTCGGAGAGGGCCAGCAGAAGCAATGACTGCCCAAAAAAACACAACCCCAGCAACCACAGAGTAAAAACTAGTGAAACTAAAATTTGGGCAGTGAGTTTCCATAATGTAACTAAGTGAAATGTGGGTCAGTACTACAATTATAACCACCTCAAATCCTCAGTTTCCGACTAAGCGGAGAAACCGAGGTTAGTGTGTAAACAAGAAAAAGAAAAAAGCAAGAAATAGAGGAAGTTGTTTGTCTCTGCCGACAGTATTCTTAGACTGTGGTTACAGTGTTAGTGACTTTAGGACTGAGGTGTGTAGTGCAGTGTTCCATTGGAGAGTGGAGAATGTTGTTATTTTTATAAGGTGGGAAAATACGAAAAGGTTAATGTAAGTAACTTTTTTATGTCAATGTGACCCATTGGTGGTTATTATATTAACGATAGTGCCACTACTTTAATAGAGGGGACACCGACGGTTAAGGCGTTAAATCAGCAAGCTTCGACTTGTCTTTTTAGAATCAACTGTCAGTGCTCGAGGGTATAATGGGTATTTAAGAAACAATAAGAATAGATCATTCTGCCGTTAATCCTGTTTGTTTTTTGGGTTTTGAGCTGATTTTTGGGTCTTTCGTTTTCCTCTCAATATGTGCAGTCGTAGCTTGGTGTGAAGGGTTTTGGCAGCTTTTGCTGACCATCTTCTTCCATAATTTTACGAAGAGTTAATTTCTTTATTAATACATCAAAACTACTACTTTATTTATTGAGAGAGGACTTAGACCAAGACTCAAAAGAGAGTATACCCTCATAGGCGTATGTACTGTGGTAGTATTGGGTCTTTACTTTTGACACGAAATATAAATTTTGTATAAAAATTTATTAAAATTGCAACACAATCCTTGACTTTATAAATATAATATGCTCAATACAAAAAATCTTAAAGATTGAATCCACAATGTGTAAATACTGGATCCGCCTCTGTACCCTCTAATCTCAAAGAGTAAAAGTTTTTAACCAACAAAATATTTTACAACAACAACAACAACAATAATAATAATAATTATCTCTCAATATATTGGAAGCAGGTTGATGTCGATATTGTATAGGCTAAAATCTGTCTCAAGGAGATTCGACATGAAGTGGTATTATGAAAAGTAAATTGGCCGAGGTCGATTAGTAAACGGTAGGGCTCAAAGCCGAGCAGTCAATAACGGCTGAGGTCGATTAGTAAACGGTATGGCTCAAAGCCGAGCAGTCAATAACGGCTGAGGTCGATTAGTAAACGGTATGGCTCAAAGCCGAGCAGTCAATAACGGCCGAGATCAAGTATCAGGGGCAGTAGTTAACGGCTAGTTTTGCAATAAGATCTTTAGGAGAATATCCCATTGAATATTCTTTGTACTTGTACTTTTAGGGTTAACTAGGGGTATGTCCCATATAAATAGAAGAGGAGATAAGGTGAAAGGCATGCATTATTCTCCGATAAGAACACTCTTGGGAAAGAAGACTCTCTCTCTAGAAAAAGATAAACACTACATTTCTAAAGAGATTCGATTGTTTGTTATTCCACATTTTCTCATCAGATCCGAGAATAGTTTCGATATTCTAGTACTTTTCTATCATTCATCATTGTCAGAAGGAGGAATCATCTACTTCATTCAATATTGGGTGAATCATTCTTCTTATTTAATTTAATGCCATTTATTGTTATTTATTACTCAACGTTCTTCTATCATTACTCATCTTAAAATATTGAATGTACACCGCAACTAATTCCCTACCAATATTGTTCTACGTTATTTGTGTTAACTGATTATAGATCTGAGATTATTACCATTCGCTAGGTTTAACCCCTCATTACATAAGATTAATCAGTTTAATCAAGGGTTTACGCTTTTTGGTCAAACAATTTGGTGCCGACTGTGGGAATTTTCTAGTTAAAATTTTAGTTTCTCCTAGATCTATAATGGGAACACTTCACAAAAAAAAAAACACAAAAACCCTACTTTATTGTGCACACGAATCTAACATTGCAGGCAACAGAGAAGAAAGGATGAAGGCAGTGGCAGACCTCACCACCAACCTCTTAAATACCATCAATTAGATTTCTGAAACAGAAGGCGAAGATGTAACGCCTAATGCCTCTCCCAGGCGAAGTGGCTCGCCCCTCCCTCACGATAACATCACAACATCCCGCGGTAAATGGGCTTCCACGTCCACAACGGAAGAGGCGTCACAAGCAGTGAAGAAACTACTTGAGGCTTGGCTAACAAACACATTGGCCAACGTCCTCGACAAGCCTGCCCAAGAGGCAACCAGAGAAAATGCAAAGACTTACATTACACCAGCAACGGCCGAGCAGCATGGCCCTCCCCCGCCCGTAACATGTATCACCCACAATGCTAATAATGCAAGTGACGACACCCTCACAACCATTCTGAGGAAGATGGAAGAAATGGAAAATGAAAACAAAGTGCTTCGGGACCAAATGAGAGAGCACCAAGAAAGAGTCGACAAAATACTGGGTGCCCCAAAACTCTTGCCAAAAAGAGATGTCGGTCGGTTCGTGGAGAAACATTGTAGTAATGAAGCCGCCCCACATGCATTACCCAAGATCTTCAAGATGCCGCCTTATCTGAAAATATATGATGGTACGACCGACCCCGATGATCATGTGACTCACTATGTCACTACGGTAAAGGGCAATGATCTCGCCAAAGAACAAGTGTCTTCCATCTTGTTGAAGAAGTTCAGTGAAACCCTCACAGGAGAAGCATTAACTTGGTATTCACAGCTGCCCCGCGCGCTTCATCGAAACGTTCGAAGAGATGACCGACAAGTTCGTAACGGTCCATGCCGGGGCTAAAAAAGCAGAGGCAAGAGTGAACGATATACTTGCCATCAAACAATCACTTGGAGAGGGACCGAGGGACTTCCTCGCTCGATTCAACCAAGTAAGAATGACCTTACCAAATGTATCAGAAGGCAAGGTTGTAGCAACTTTCCAAAACGGGTTGAGCAGGAACGGTTCGAGAGCGACCAGAAAATTATTAAGTCGACTCATGAAATACCCCCAACCACTTGGGATGAATTACACAATGCCTATTGTGCCGAAGTCCGTGCCGACGAAGATGACCTGAATGGGACAATCCATCGGTTGACCTCGGTACAGGCCGAATCTAGGAAAGATCGAAGAAATGATGCCAGGAGGGATCTGGCAGCTCCACGACCCAACAGAGAAAGGCATCAACCATATATCAGGAGCGACATCATGCCCTCTCCCTCCATAAAGAAGGCCCATCTAGGCCAAGGACGAGGACTCACCGGAACGAGAGAGGTATGCCCCATTTACTATCTGCTCACAATTTTTGTATCTCACCTTCAGAAATAGTCTACGCATTGGAGAAGCTCGGACCAAACGTGAAATGGCCACCAAAGATGAGGTTAGACCCAAACACTAGGAAGTCAAACGTCCTCTGCGAATTTCACTAAGAGCGAGGTCACAAAACTGAGGATTGCATCGCACTAAGGCAGGAAGTCATGAACATGCTTCACAAAGGACACCTCAAAGAATTGCTGAGCGACCGAGGAAGAACCAACTTCTCCCGAGGACGTAAACAACACCAGGGACCACCGAAACCACCCTCACCGACTCACACCATTCAAATGATCATCAGAGGCGGCGATGACGCCTCGATCAACAACATAAAATTCACGACAATCCACAAGCTCAAACGGTCGATCACTCGTGAACGGTATGGTGAGCTCGAAGAAAGTATCATCTTCGATAAGTCAGATACCCATGGTTTGGTATTCCCTTACTATGATGCCTTTGTTATTACGTTAAGAATTCTAGACACATATGTTAGACGCATTATGGTAGACGATGGGAGCGGCGCGTGCATTATCCACCCTCGAGTACTTGTACAAATGAAACTCGAGGATAAACACTACAAGAAATCAGAGTTTTTGTGACGACTTTCTGTGGCCAGAGGCGGATCCAGGATTTAGGGGTTAGAGGTGCCGACTTAATCGATGTGATCAGCTCGAGCGTTGATTCGGGACTTCGGGGTATATAGACAAATAGATCAAACGAAAGAAAATATAATAACTATAACTAATTGACGCAAAGCATAAAACTTCCAACAATATTTTTAATATCATATACAATCTATTTACAATTGTCCTCGACGAGCTTTCATATTTTGAAAACGATCAATAATGACATCATTACTTACATTTGTAAATACATCACGCTCTATGTAACAAATTAAACAATCATTTAAATATTGATCACCCATNGGTGTTAATTGCAATTGATGAGCAAAGCAATGAATGTAATATGCCGATGAGCTGTCTTTCATAATCAAAATCTTAAGACCACTTATCTCTCCCCTCATATTACTAGCTCCATCATAACCTTATCCACGTATTTGAGACGGACTTAGTAAGTGGTCCGAAAGCAAAGAGTAGATTGCTTCCTTCAATGAGTATGCCGATGTATCACTAACATGGACAAGACCAACAAATCGCTCTACCACTTCACCATTTTTATCAACATAACGCAAAACAAGAGCCATTTGTTCTTTGTGTGAGATATCTTTGGACTCATCAACTAATATACCAAAATAATCTCCATTGAAGTCTCCAATTATAGCCTTTAATGTTTCTTTTGCACAAGCATTGATAATATCCTTTTGGATCATAGGGCAAGTCAAAGTATCATTTTGTGGAGTATTTTTTAATATTACTTTTCCCACATCCGGATGCTTGTCCCCATGCCATCGTAAGAATCCTAGAAAGAGGCCTTGATTTGTTGAAGATTCACTTTCGTCATGGCCCCTAAAAGGCAATCCATACAACAATAGAAGTCTTGCCACATCAATTGATGCTTCTAAACGCATTCGATACTCATTTTTCAACTTCTCGGAGTGCTTATCAAAAACAACTTGAATTGATTGATGATGATTTGATAAATCTAGCATCTTCTTGAAACATTTATCATGGACACTATTAACATCACCAACATGTAAACGCAATCTTTCAAGACCCTTATTCCAAGCCCTAAAACCATTTTTTGTATAAAATTCACCCGCACTTCCATGAATAAATTCATTTTTGAACAAATAACAACATAAGTAAAATGCCGCATCTTTCTTCACACTATACTCCAACCATTTAGAAAATTGGCCGTTGAACCAACTTGGAACAAAGTGACGTATTCTTCCTCCTATTTGAGTTTTGGGAAATTGATGCTTGGAAGGTTGAGAAGGACCTTGTTGAATGTAATGTTTCCTTACTTCATCTCGTATTCTAGGGTTATAGTCAGCAATATGTATTCTTTCTCCTGGATCGCCTTTAAGTGACCCCAAATCGAGTTCATTTATAAGATATGAATGATTGACATTCGCTTGGATCAAGGATTGACAACTAGGATTTGGTTGAGAATGGTCCAACCTCGTGACAAATTTATCCATCTCAATCAATTCCTATAAAATAGAAGCTCATTCCAGTGAGAAATATAGAACAATTTCTACCAGGTCATACCATCAATAAGTTTAATTATTTTAAATTCTACAGTGAAACCATTTAAGAGGCATTTGATTTTCAAACACAACCAAAGAAATACATAACAAAAAAAATTCAAAATAGTGACAATAATGTTTAGCAAGAACACTAATATCCAACATTCCAACTAAATACAAAATAAAAACATAGCAAAAACATATATTTGATGGGAAAAAAATAGCCACATAGGGTTAAGAAATAGACATGAGGAGGTGAGGATTGAGGAAACTTTACAATGGTGGGCGTAGTGTAATGACTAGTGAGCAATGAATGTGTGAACTGTGAAGCATCAAGCATCCGCAAAGGTAAAGCAAAATAAATGCTTACAGTAACAATCTAACAGAGAAGCAAGAAGCAGAAGCAGTGACGTGAATGAAGGCTGAAGCAGTGAGAATTGGAAAAAGGGAAAGTGAAAAGTGGAGTTGGGGAATTTGGGCATTGTTTTACCTTTAATTATAAGAGAATATTCTATAAAGAGTACTTTTATTATTATTTTATCTTATTTGTTTATACTTAAACAAACAAACAAACAAACAAACAAACAGAAAAGTAAAATATTTACTATAAAACATATAAGAGTGTGATGTGTAGTGTACTTAATTTCCTTAAACAAACAAACAAAAAAGTAAAATATTTACTATAAAATATAGAAGAGTGTGATGGCATGAATGAAGGCTGAAGCAGCGAGAATTGGAGAAAGGGAAAAGTGGACTTGGGGCATTGTTTTACCTTTAATTATTAGAGAATATTCTATAAAGAGTACTTTTATTATTATTTTATCTTATTTGTTTATACTTAAACAAACAAACAAACAGAAAAGTAAAATATTTACTATAAAATATAGAAGAGTGTGTTGTGTAGTGTACTTAATTTCCTTAAACAAACAACTAGAAAAGTAAAATATTTACTATAAAATATAGAAGAGTGTGCTGTGTAGTGTACTTAATTTCCTTAAATTGCAACCGAATGTAAGCCAAAAATTTATTTGCTCCCGCATGGATTCGAACTCTTGCCCTGCTGAACGAAAAGGCAGACCTTTGCCACTGGCACCTTTTTCACTTTTGTTCTACGGGTGGCACTTTAAATATATATCCTATTTCTTATACATGTTTACATATATACATAAGGTTTTTGCCGAAGCTTGCGGGTGGCGTACCACCCCAAACCGTGTACGTAGATCCGCCCCTGTCTGTGGCGACTTGCTTTATTGCCACAAAAGTGATAATATCAGTGGCGGCTATCTTAGTCGCCACAGAAAAGCAAGATTTAGAGGCGACTAAACTTAAGTCGCAACAAATAAACACAATTTTACTCTTTAATGATTAGAACAAAATTTTTATTCCCGTTTAGATTATATTTTGTGACGACATTTTTGGAGTTGTCACAATAGTCTTATTCTAGCGACTAGGTCGCCTCAGTTCTTCACGCTAAAATTGAAAAATTAATAAAAAGTAATCAGCCTCACCCTTTAGTTTATTTCCTAGTGTCTTTTACTTTTTTACCAAAATATTCTCTCCTTTCCTAAAACCCTAACTTGAGCCTCCCCATGGGAAAGAAAAAATTGAAGCAAGCGACTTCTTTCTCCTGAAACCTTTACTCTGGGATGCGAACCCCTCGGCCCCTGACCTCTTATCTCTCTCTCTCTCTTCGAAAATCCAGATCTAGAGTTGAATATGGAAGAAGAAATGGTGCAAGCGATTTGGCTTCAAAAATTTAAAAAGAACGATCCGTTCCTTTCCTCTAAAATTCGTAAGTTGCAGAAGGTTCTTTCCTTTTTGTATTTCTTGCTTTCTAGTATTTTATTTCTCATTATTTCATTATTTATACTTGTGTATACTTGTAATTCTGATCTGTGAAGTTAATTTACTGTTTATTTGTGTTCTTTAGCTATCTTGCACTGATTTGGGTTGAATCCGACGAACATAATGAGGTTTGATTTTTCTTCATTTGGTCTTGTTTTCAATTTTATTGTTGTGCTTTACAATTATGCAAAGGGTAATAAGAATTAAAGGATGAGGAAAAAAATATTATCGTTTTTGGTAAGTAAATGTTGAATTGTAGAATGTTTTCTCTGTTTTATCTTTTTCTTTTTCTATAGATTTCTGTTATAGAATAATTTCAGTGGCTCGAGAGAAAAACTTTCTGATCATTAATGATGTACTGGAGGCGAATTATATTCCATAAGTGCTTCTTTGAGTTTCCGTCCTGGCTAAACTCGCCATAGGTTTTGTATGATCTTTATCCCCAACTTCTCCATTTAGAGAAAATGTAAAATGGCAAGAATAAATAAACTCTATTACATAGTTTTTAACATTTGGAATGACGATTAGGAGTTCTTGGGTTTCTTATTCCCTTATTCTTTTGGTATCTGATTGGCTTTCTTTTCATTGCTTATCTATCTTGAATAATGTCTAACAATTAGTATTGCGGCGCAAAGAATTTGCGCAACATTGTCTGACTCGTTTTAAACCATCTACTCAGGAATTATTTCAAATGTTAAAAGATAATAATGTGCCTTCGTATGGAATAGTACAATAGGAACCGCACTTGGAGAGCGGCCAATATTATTCTCTTATGAGAGTTTTTTATTGAGGCCATATTGTTCAAGATGACATGGTACTAGCTAGCCAAGGAGGAGCTTGAAGACATTTTATTTTTGCTGCTTCTTTATTTTTTTATTTTTTGGGCATTTCATGTGTATGGACGATACCTATATGTTCTGAATTTTAATAAAAAGTTCGTTGATCTTTTTGTTTGATAAGAGATTTAATGGTGTCTCTTCTTACATTAATGAGTTGCTCTAATACATTTGTGTAATATTATTAAAAATATTGCTGCTGCTTAATTATTTTTACAAAATTAAAATTTGTTTGAAAAAATAGGTTTTAGGGGCGACCAAACCTTGCTACAAAATAATTACTATTTGTGGCGACCAATATTGTTACTAAACCTCATGTTATTGTGGCGATAAGAGCTACTACTTAAGGTAAAATTCCTTTTGCGGCGACTACCGTCGCTACTAAAAGTCGTTCTTTAGTGGCGACCTACCTCAAATCTGTTTTGTGGTTGGGTATTTACTGCACATTGTTGTGGCGAGTTAAGTCGCCACAAATGTATATTTTTGTGGCGACTTTCAGAAGTCGCCACAAAAAATATTTAGTAACGGTAGTACATGGAGCGAGCAGAAAGTCGCCACTAAATGTGTATAGCAGAGATTTTCCATGTTTTAGTAGCGACTTTGGTCGTCACTAAAAGTCCGATTTCTTGTAGTGAAAATAGTGCCACGTTGCATCATACTAACAGGTTTTAACAATGCAGTTGCCGGTGGCGTCACCCTGGAAACCACATTCCACATCATGAACTAGGATACAACGTACAATGCCATAATAGGTCGACCCTGGATACACGCCATGAAGGCCATCCCTTCAAACTTGTACCAAGTTATCAAATTCCCTACCCCATAGGGGTGTTCAGCATACGAGGAGAGCAACGCACATCCCGAGAATGCTATCGCATCGCCCAAGATTGCACGTATACCCAACAAATGGTGGGTAAAACAAAAGATGCATAACAATTAACATGGTCGAGATCGAGCTGTGACGAAAGAGCGGACATCATCAGAGATCCCGAAATAATAGAGGCCACGGGATCAACCGTAGAGGACCTCAACCCCGTCCAAATTGATGATAACGACCACAACAAGAAAGCCTACATCGGCTGCAAGCTTCAGGAATCAGGTAAATTCCATTAACTCTTAACTAATAATGCAGACTTGTTTGCCTTTTCCCATGCGAACATGCCAGGTATCCTGAAGGAGGTCGCGACACACAAGTTAAACGTTTACCCATTCTCTCCCCGATAAGGCAGGTTAGGCGAAAGTTCAATTCTGATAATAAACGATGTAGTCCGCGAGGAGGTCGAAAAATTGCTGGAAAATGGCTCCATCAGGGAATCAAAATACCCTCAATGGGTCGCCAACGTGGTCATGGTGAAAAAGAAGAACGAAAAGTGGCAGATGTGCGTAGATTTTACAGATTTAAACAAAGCATGCCCAAAAGATTCATTCACGCTGCCTCATATCGACCAGCTCATTGACGTAACTGCCGGGCACGAACTGCTGAGCTTCTTGGATGCCTAGTCGGGCTATAATCAGATCCTCATGGAAGAGGAGGACCAGGAGAAGACCACCTTCATCACCCACCAAGGAACGTACTGCTATAGAATGATGCTTTTCGGACTGAAAAATGCGGGGGTGACGTACCAAAGGTTGGTGACCAAAATATTCAAGGACCAACTCGGCAAGACCATTGAGGTCTACATAGACGATATGTTGGTCAAGTCCAAAAGGAAAGAAGATCACATTGACCACCTGAAAGAAGCCTTCAATATACTCATGCGGTATAGGATGAAGCTGAATCCTGAAAAGTGTGTATTCGGCGTGACCTCAGGAAAATTCTTGGGCTTCCTAGTATCACAAAGAGGCATAGAGGTCAACCCTGACCAAATCAAAGCCATAGAAGAAATACCAGAGCACTTGATCAGCAAAAAATAGGTTCAGAGGCTGACCGACCGCATCGCCCCCCTGTCGAGATTCATCTCACGATCGTCTGACAGATGCCATAAGTTTTTCGGCATACTCAATAAGGACAACGGCCTCCAGTGGACTTCCGAGTGCGTTCAAGCCCTGAAAGAGTTAAAAGCTTATCTATCATCACCGTCGTTGCTATCCAAAGCAGAACCTGGTGAACGTCTTCTCGTCTACCTTGTCGTATCTGAAATAGTGGTGAGTGCAGTCCTGGTCCGAGAAGATAAAGGTACGCAATCTCCCATCTATTATATTAGCAAAACTTTAATCGACGCCGAGACGAGGTACCCCCACCTCGAAAAGTTGGCCCTGGCCTTGGTCGTAGCTTCACGAAAGCTTAGACCCTACTTTCAATGCCATCCCATCTCGGTTGTCATAACTTTCCCCTTAAGGAGTATTTTGCATAAGCCCGAGCTATCAGGCAGGTTAGCCAAGTGGTCCATAGAGTTAAGTGAGCATGATATCACATATCAACCGCGGATGACGATAAAATCACAAGTCCTTGCCGACTTTGTCGCCGACTTCACTGCAAAAATAATGACCGAAGTCGAAAAAGAAGACGCCCACGCTTCTCCATAAGCACAAGATTTATGGATTATGTACACCGACGACGCTTCTAATGCATCAGGTTTCGGACTAAGACTTGTGCTCGAGGTCCCGACAAGCGAAGTAATTTGCCAGTCCATAAGATGCCCGGACATGACTAACAACGAAGCCGAGTATGAGACCGTGATTGTAGGATTAAAGCTAGAACTCAAGTACGGGGCGAGACGGGTCATCCTACGCTGCTACTCTCAACTCGTCATCAACCAAGTCACAGGTACTTTCCAGATTAAAGAGCAAAGGTTGCAAAATACCAGACCGAGATCCACAAATTACTGCTCGAGTTTGAGGAATGCCAGCTCGACCAGATCCCAAGAGCACAAAACATCGAAGCAGACGGCCTCGCCAAATTAGCGTCGGCCACTAAAAGCATAACCGGAGAAGGAAACATGGTTACCCTCCTCCACTCGTCGATAGATCAAATTAAGGTAAGGACTATAAATCTAACTTGGGATTGGCGCAACTGTATTATTACATACTTGCAGAATGGCGTACTCCAGATGATAAAAAGGAAGCCAAGAAGCTTCGGATGCAAGCGGCTAGGTACAACATCATTCACAGTGATCTATACAAGAGGACGTATGGCGGCCCCCTAGCGAAATGCTTAGGCCCGAATCAAACGCGTAGCGTCCTAGAGGAAGTCCACGAAGGCCATTGCGGGGCTCACTCCGACAACCGAGCTCTCGTCAGATGCCTCATACGGGCAGGTTACTACTGGCCTACTATGAAAAAAGAGGCCGTAGACTTCGTAAAAAAATGTGAGCAATGCCAAAAATATGCCCCAATGATCCATCAAGCGGGCGAGCACTTCCACTCGGTCACTTTCCCTTGGCCTTTCATCAAGTGGGGAATGGACATCGTCGGCCTCCTCCCCACGGAGCGAGGTAACGTAAGTTTTCGTTTGGTTTTAACTGACTATTTTTCTAAATGGGTAGAAGTAAGAGCATTTGCCCAGATACGCGAACAAGAAGTGATTGCCTTCATATGGAAAAACATTGTGTGCCACTTCGGCCTCCCCAAAGAGATCAGTTGAGACAACGACCCCCAATTTACTAGAAAAAAGGTCGCCGAATTTTTTGAGAAATGGCATATCAAAAGAATACTCTCCACCACATATCACCCAGCGGGGCAACGGGAAAGCGAAATCCTCTAATAAATCAATACTGAATATTATGAAGAAAAAGCTTGAGGACGCCAAAGGACTATGGCCAGAGTTATTACCAGAAGTACTCTGGGCCTACCGCTCAACACCAAAGATGAGCACAGGAGAGACGCCCTACTCATTAGTCTATGGGACCGATGCAGTAATACCAATTGAAGTCGGAGAGCCCAGTTTGAGATACTCCCATGAGAGCGGGCCGAAGAACGACGAAAGCAGAAAATGGGAGCTCGACGAAGTCGAAGAACGGAGAGATATGGCCTACATAGGGATGATCGCCCAAAAACAGCAGGCATAACGCTACTATAACATAAAGGCCAAGATCAGACCACTCAAAGCCGGGGACTACATGCTCAAGGCCAAAACACAATCAAGCAAAGACTCGCGGGAAGTCAAACTAGGAACGAATTGGGACGGCCCATACAAAATCACGGCAGCAGCAAACAAATGGTCATTTCAACTAGAAACAATGGAAGGAAAACTACTACAAAACAACTGGAACGTCGCCCACCTCAAGTACTTTAACTTTTAAGAATAAGTGTCCTCCAAGTCGTACTCTTTTCCCCTCACTTGAGTTTTGTCCCAATTGGGTTTTCTTAAGGAGGTTTTTAACGAGGCGACAAGGGAGACACTTCAAGTCGAAGTACGGACATAAAAGGGCATCGTACGGTCAATTCATTGCCCAACCTCTCAACATGTCTCCAGGTCACCCAATGAAGGGACGAGATAGACTGGTACTGGAATGCCATCCCGAAAAACATATTTCTCCAAGTATATGAGCGAAACACAAATGTATACATGTTTCTCCAAGTTAATGAGCAAAACACGAATGTATGTTCGCCCATGTTTCTGCCAGAGCAACGTTGCCTCAATATCTTCTCGGCCCTCGGCCACAATTGAAGAAATAACATTCGACCTCACTCGAATTAAATCACATTCGACCTCGCTCAAATTAACATTTGTACGACCCCCGGCCATTGTTAAGTTTAAGTTACATTCGACCTCGCTCGAATTAACTGACATTCGACCTCGTTCGAATTAAATAACATCCGACCTCGTTCGAATTAAATCACATTCGACCTCTCTCGAATTAAATCACATTTGACCTCGCTCGAATTAAATCACATTTGACCTCTCTCGAATTAAATCACATTCTACCTCGCTCAAATTAAATCACATTCGACTTCGCTCGAATTAACTACGAGTTACATTCGACCTCGTTCGAATTAACATTTGTACGGACCCCGACCATTGTTAAGTTGAAGTTACATTCGACCTCGTTCGAATTAAATAACATTCTACCCTGTTCGAATGTGATTTAATTCGACCTCGCTCGAATTATATCACATTCGACCTCGCTCGAATTAACTATGAGTTACATTCGACCTCGCTCGAATTAACTATGAGTTACATTCGACCTCGTTCGAATTAACATCTGTACGGCCACCGGCCATTGTTAAGTTTAAGTTACATTCGACCTCGCTCGAATTAACTGACATTTGACCTCGTTCGAATTAAATAACATTCGACCTCGTTCAAATTAAATCACATTCAACCTCGTTCAAATTAAATCACATTCAACCTCTCTCGAATTAAATCACATTCGACCTCGCTCGAATTAACTATGAGTTACATTCGACCTCGTTCGAATTAACATCTGTACGGGCCTCGGCCATTGTTAAGTTTAAGTTACATTCGACCTCGCTCGAAATAACTGACATTCGACCTCGTTTGAATTAACACTTACTGGTCCCCGACCATAACCAAAACTAAATTCGATATTCGACCTCGTTCAACACACATAAACCAAGCTTCTACGAATAAAGCTGCCAAACAGCAGAACAAAAGAAAGAATCGTACATGCCCGAACCGAAGAAAATAACATTTCATACTTCAAATATATTCCTTACAAGGGTTAATACAGACGCCCGCAAAAGTGTGCACAAAATTTACAAACAAAAAGAAGAATAATTACTCGCCACCTGACCCAGCAACACCTTCTCCACCATCGTCGTCGCCATTGGAATTCTCATCCTCGTACCAGGCATCCTGCTCGATCCCATCCACTCATCCTCACCGGCCTCTGGGTTAGCAGGGTCATAGCCGCAAGCGACTCGAGCTGCACGCGCCTTAGTACGAGCATCCTCAAAGTCGGCTTCAAGGACCCTCCACGCCATCATCAAACTTTTAAATATATCTAGCTGAGCCTCAGCGTGGATCCACTTCTCATATAAATCCCTCGGAACAGCAGAGAAAGAAGAAGCATGAGAGGAGGACGGTTGAGCCGATAATTGCACCTTCTCGGCCTCGAGAACGATGACTTGGTCGCCAAGGTTGGAAACCTCTTTTTCTAGCTCCCATATCCGCTCATCGAGCTGCTCTTCTCTGAG